TGGATCACCTGAGGTCAGGAGTTCAAGACCAGCCTGCCCAACATGGTGAAACCCTGCCTCTACTAAAAATACAAAAAATTAGCCAGGTGTAGCGGCGGGCCCTTGTAATCTGAGCTACATGGGAGGCTGAGGCAGGAGAATCGCTTGAAGAGATTCTGGGAGACAGAGGTTGCAGTGAGCCAAGATCACACCATTGCACTCCAGCCTGAGTGACGGAGTGAGACTCCATCTCAAAAAATATATATCTATACACACATACATACAGAGAGAGAGAGAGAGAGCGTGAGAGCAGTTCAGACCAGTTGTGGTGGCTCCTGCATGTGGTTCCAGCACTTTGGGTGGCCAAGGCTAAAGGATCACTTGAGGCCAGAAGCTTTGAGACCAGTCTGGGCAACATAGTGAGACCCTATCTCACAAAAAATAAAAGATTAGCTGGGCATGGTGGCATATACCTGTGTCTTAGCTTCTCAGGAGGCTGAGGTGATAGAATCACTTAAGCCTCAGGCTGCAGTGAGCTGTGATTATGCCATTATACCCCAGCCTGGGCAACAGAGTGAGGTTCTGTCGCAAAAAAAAAAAAAAAAGGAGTGGAGGGGCTAAGCAAAGAAAGAACACCAGTGCATAATGTTACCTGCCCACCACTGGGCAGAAAAAAGTAAAAGAGGTTTACAACCTCTCAGGTTGACAAGGATGTGAAGGAAAGAGTCTTCTCCTTTGGTGTTAGTAAATAGGTAAATTGGCATAGCCTTTCTAGGAGAAATTTGACAATATCAAATTTTAAAATGTTCATGTCTTATTTTTGGTTTATGTGTTTTTATTTGCATTATTTTGGGTTATTGATTAAAATTTTTAATTGGTACATTATGATTGGATCTACTTATGGGATACAACTTGATGTTTCAATATAATGATCTAAGCAGGGTAGTTATATCCATCTCATGCATTTATCATTTCTGCATTCGAAAACCTCTCTTCTAGCTATTTTTGTAATATATAATATCTTATTGGGAGGATTACTTGAGACTAGGAGTTCAAGGCTGCAGTCAGCTATGATGCACCCGTGTACTCCAGCCTGGGCTACAAAGACCCCAGAAAACGAAAGACATTTAACCTGATACAGTAGAATAAGACAAGAATGATGTTAAGTTTAATGACTGGCTTCCATTTAACAAGTTGTATTCCTTGTTATGGATGTTTGGTGTATATGGTATGGGGAGGTCAGTTTCAGAAACATTTACAAAAGTGAGTATTCTGGGAGAGCTTATTACCTGGTAACCTTAGCATGCTTTGATCTCAAAGTAGAGAGATACTAACTGGGAGCTGCTCTGGCTTAGTAGCAGATGTTCTACCCGTAACTCTTCCAGGAGATTCTTGCCCTACCCCATTCTCTCTTCAGCTAGGATCCCCATTTTCCTGTGAAGACAGAACAGTTTTGTTCTGTAAGAAGAAGCTCCTACTTCCTCATCAGGATCCCGGGCCAGGGAGAACAAGTGTGGGACCACGTTAGCATCCGCAGATTTCCAGTACGGCGGTCCTGTGTGGATGCTCCTCCATGGACAGGCCGTAGACAACACATTGCCCCGTGCGCACTCGGGGTTCTCCCACCCTCTAGCTGGTGGTAAATTAGGGCAGAGCCCTATTTACAGTCACAGGGACACAGTATGACTTGGACATTCTTCAGAAGTGTTCTCCCAAAATATCACAAAATGAGAATTTGCCCCCATGACATGAAGATAAAATGAATTCCATTTTCTTTTGTCCATTTGTTCATTCAGCAAATATTTTCTGAGTCCTGCTGTGTGTCAGGGCCCAGTGTCCCGTGCAGGAAATACAAGATGGAATAAGGTGTGACCTCAGCCTTTAGAGATCTCAGTATCCAGTGGGGTTTTTGGGGAGAAGAAAGGCAGGAACCAAATCATCACAGTGTATTTTTATAAGTACTGTAATTGGAGCTAAGGCAGCAGCTGGCATGAAGCAGGTCGCATAATGTGTGTGCTTGCTGAATGAATCAACAGACCCAAGGGTGGGTGTCTTCAGAGATGACCTCTGGAGGAGGTGGGATGTGAGTTGGGTCTCCAGGGGGGCTGATAAAGACAATATGATGATCCCTGGTTTTCAGTATAGGAATGCTGGGAATAAGGACACAATTTCAAATCTGCTTGGCTTCCAAAGTTCTGTTAGAGTAAAACCCTTTCCCACAGAATTCACCTATCTGTATCCTATGTGTTTGTATTTAAAATACTGGAAAGAACCATATAGGAAATAAGCTGGAAATTGATTTCTTAAGGCTTCCACAAACACCAGATACGGTCTGACTGCTCCCTGTTCTTTCTTCTTCCCCCTCTGTAACCTCCAGCTTTCTTGGTTAGCAGCAGCCTTGTTATTTCCCCTTTGGAGCATTGATCTCTGTAGGAAAAAAAAGTTACCCGTTACTGGGGAAAAGACTAAGCAGAGCAGATTTACTGTCTGTGTCTCCTCCTTGAAGTTAGTTTCTATTGATGGATCTGGAAGGATGGCATCAACATTTTCTTCCATTTCTATTTAGGTGTATATGTGAATAGGCTGGGACTGCAGTTCTTCATCTGAGGAAGTAACATTTTTACATTCAGGCTTGCAGCTTCAGCAAGCTGCAAAATGATTGTGCATAAAATATTGAAAAACAATGTGTAATACAAAAATTAGCCAGGTGTGGTGGCGCATGCACCTGTAGCCCCAGCTACTCAGGAGGCTGAGGTGGGAGGATCACCTGAGCCCAGGGAGGTTGAAGGTGCAGTGGGCTGTACTCTTGCCACTGCACTCCAGCCTGGGCAACAGAGTGAGACCTAGTCTCAAGAAAATAAAAATAAAGGGCTTTTCATGTTCCAGAATAGTGTTGTGAATGATTTGGGTGAAGAGACATTTCTGTTAAACTCATTCTTACTAAAATGTGTAGTGGTGTGAAGTTTGCATTAAAGATGATGGTGGGTGGGTTCTGACATTTAATCAGCCTTCAGTTTTTTTAATGCATCTGCTCAGTCTCCGGCATCTGAAACCCATAGTTCGTGTCCTTTGTCACATAAATATTTGACTAAATATAGATGTCAGAAAAGCTGCGTGCATACCACATAAACATCCAGCCTTCCCAGCTAAGTGTGGCCTGTCATGCAGTGCCCTGGAGGTGGGTTGGTGGTTGGAAGTGGAAACACAGTTTCAAGGCCTTAAAAAAGACAGCTGCTTTTGAAGACTGGCTGTAGTTGCAGGTTCCTACCTTCATGTTGTCCTAGCATTCAGGAACGTTTTTATACAAATACAATGAAATTTCTGGTTTTGTTTTTAATTTTTTGAGACAGGGTCTCACTCTGTCACCACAGCTTACTGCAGCCTCAACCTCCTGGACTCACATAGTCCTCTTACCTCAACCTCCCATGAGCTGGGACCATAGGCGTGTGCCACTTTGGCCTGGCTATAATTTTTTTTTTTTTTTTTTTTTTTTTTTTTTGCTAGAGACCGACTTTTGCTATGTTGCCCAGTCTGGTCTCGAACTCCTGGGCTCAAGTGATCCCCCCTCTTTAGCCTCTCAAAGTATTGAGATTACAGCCATGAACCATTATGCCCAATTGAGATGGAAGCTTTAAAAATATTTTTTTTTTTTTTGAGACAGGGTTTTGCTCTTGTTACCCAGGCTGGAGTGCAGTGGCACGATCTCGGCTCACTGCAACCTCCGTCTCCTGGGTTCAAGCAATTCTCCTGCCTCAGTCTCCCAACAAGCTGGGACTACAGGTGTGTGCCACCATGCCCAGCTAATTTTTGTATTTTTAGTAGATACGGGGTTTCACCATGTTGACCAGGATGGTCTCGATCTCTTGACCTCGTGATCCACCCATCTCGGCCTCCCAAAATGCTGGGATTATAGGTGTGAGCCACCGCGCCCAGCCGAAGCTTTAAAAATCTTTAACATGTCCAAGTACTTGCTGCCCTTAGCAAAGGAGTCATCTTGGGAGGTCAGAGTTCCTGCGCAGCTCTTACTTGAGTCAGTGCTTTTCACTAGACTCCTCATCCCCCTTAATCACAGTAGACTCCAACTCCATTCTGAAAAGATTTCTCACCATGGAGATACTATTTTACCATGCAAAGAAAGGGCTATGGGAGGTGGCTCATAACTGTAATCCCAACAGTTTGGGAGGCTGGGAGAGTTGCTTGAACCCACGAGTTCAAGACTAGTGTGGGCAACATGGTGAAACTCATCTCTACAAAACTTTTTTTAAAATTAGCTGGGTGGGATAGCTCACACCTCTAGTCCCATCTATTCGGGAGGCCGAGGTGGGAAGATTGCTTAAGCCCAGGAGATCAAGGCTACAGTGAGCTATGATCGTGCCTCTGCATGCCAGCCTGGGCAACAGAGGGAGACTGTCTCAGGGCAGCGGGGAGAGAAAAAAAGAAAAGAAAAATCTATAGGTAAGAGACAAATTACAACACTAAATAACAGAATTATTGAGAGAAATTTGTTCCTACCTAAGTTGATATATTTGAGAAATACAAGGTTCCTTTGAATGATACACATCCTGCCAAAATGAAGCCCCTTTCCAGTAGTCATCCTTTATAGTGAGACAGAAAAGCCTGTTAGAACTTCTTAAAAGGGGCGTGTTCAGGAATGATAAGGATAGAAAAACTATAGCTGCTCTTGTTCATTTAGAGCAGGGGTCCCCAAACTATGGCCTGCGGGCCGCATGCGGCCCCCTGAGGTCATTTATCCGGCCCCCCGCCGCACTTCAGGAAAGAGCACCTCTTACATTGGTGGTCAGTGAGAGGAGCACAGTATGTGGTGGCCCTCCAATGGTCTGAGGGACAGTGACCTGGCCCCCTGTGTAAAAAGTTTGGGGATGCCTGATTTAGAGGCATCCCAGACCTAGGCCTTGACCCCACCTGCCCCTCCTTCCCTGTCTGCACTCCCTGCCCAGTGTAATCCACAGGAATCCTAAAGCTCTTCAGGCCTTTCTAATACTTCCCTTCTGTTTCTCTAGGTATTTCTGGGAAAAGCCAGCTTCTGTTTGCACTGGTCTTCACAACTCGTTACCTGGATCTTTTTACTTCATTTATTTCATTATATAATACATCTATGAAGGTATGGTATGCCATGCACTGGAATGTATTTCATCTATAGTGCACAGACCTATGGATACTTAATTTATGTCAGCTGTGTATTTTTAATTAAAATGCTCCAAAAATAATGTCTTAATATGCTGTTCTTGACTTTAAAACTTTTAGACCACCTTGTATGTATAACTGGGAATAAATGAGCTATCAGTAAACATACATTTTTGGTTTCAAAACAGTAGTTTAATTAAAATACTTTGAAGTTCAAGCTTTTTTATTTTAGGTGCCTTAAGTATGATAAATATAAAGCTCTGGATAACTCTATAAGAAAGAGGGGTAACTATTGTATTTTCAAGCTGTGGGAAATTACAGAGTCCCCAGAGCAATCCAGCAAGTTGGTGCATAACAAGGAATGAAAGTAGGACTCCTAGTTGCAATGTCTCATTTTGCTGCTGTGTGAGGAACTGTGTACAGGCCTCTACCTTTTTTCTTTCCTACTTAGTGAGTTTTTCTTCAACTGCCGTGTGTGTCATATTTATTATGTTTGCTATGCTTAAATGCTCTCTATACCATCATTTACTTAGTAACATATTTTTTAAACCTCCGACTTGTCCTAAGCATTAGTTTTTATAACACCTTTGTTGTCTTTCTTATATGTTTTTCTAATTCACATGAAAACAAATGTATAACTATTAAAATACAAAGTGTTTGCATACAACCTAACACTTTGTGTACCACTAGTGGTACACACCCCATATCGGGATACTATGTGACTTCTTGGGGGACTTCATGGACTGCATAAGCTTTATTTTTTCTCACAGTGTTGAATTCATGCTTCTAAACGCCTACAGAGCTGGGCACTGAGGTTGTGGCAGAAAATAAGTCTCTAGTCTGGTGTGGGGAGTACACAGAGTACACTCCTGACCTCAAATGATCAGCCTGCCTCGGCCTCCCAAAGTGCTGGGATTACTGGTGTGAGCTACTGTGCCCGGCTGGCAGTTTCTTATAAAGTTAAACTTGGGCCAGTCACGGTGGCTAACGCCTGTAATCCCAACACTTTGGGAGGCCAAGGTGGGTAGATTGCTTGAGCCCAGGAATCCGAGACTAGCCTGAGCAACACAATGAGACCCCATCTCTAAAATAAATAAATAAATTAGCCAGGCATGGTGGCGTACTCCTGTAGTCTCAACTACTCAGAAGGCTGAGGTGGTAGGATTGCTTGAGCCCTGGAGGTTGAGGCTGCAGTGAGCCGTGATCACATCACTGTACTCGAGCCTGGTGGCCTGAGTGATCAAGCAGGACCCTGTCTCCAAAAAAGAAAAGAAAAGAAACAAAGATAGAAGTATAGGGGTTCTCAGGATATGTAATAGGAGTCTGATTTCTTTGTTTCATTCATTCTACAAATACTGAGCCCCTGTGTGCCAGGCACTATTCTAGGCCATTTGGTTATTGGCACACCCAAGGAAGTAATATTTAAACTGAAACTTAAAAGTATGATATCTAAACAACCTTCCCTTAACATTTTGTGTTCAAGAGAATTTTCATAAGCACTGGTGAAAGGAGACATAGCAATATGTGAGTCTGGTCTTTATAAAATTTGTAAAGCAATTTTGAGTCACTTAGCAAATTTGAGTGACTTACAATGGATTCTTCCATTACCAAGTGATGGGAACCTAGTATTCAGGAAATAATGAGCTTATTTAAAAATGGTTAGGTCCCCACTTGTCTAGGCAAGTTAAAAAAATAGGCACAGAGGTGTGTGACCAAGAATTCTCCCTCCCCATCACGATGCCTAGGTTTCAGAGGATTCCATGCTTGCTTGGTTGTAGTTTCTAAGCACAATGTCCTGAAAGTCTGGAGCGAGGACTGAGGTGCTCCTGTCTTTTTACTTTAACTTCTACGTGCTGATGAGAGCAGAGAAGCGGTTGTTCTTCTCCAGCTGCTGCTAAGGTCTTAGTGGAAATAACGGCAATCAAGTGTTTATTAATCTTGAGCTACCTACAGACTGGGTCCTGGTGAGGGGCCTCTCTGCTGTGAGCCTTGGCTGAGTGTGCTGAGGGAGCTTAGTGCATGTGTAGATGGATGTATGTTTCGTTCATGCATGTAGATTTTGTATTTTATTTATTCACATACATGTGTATATAACATTTGCGTGTGGAGAGAACTCCTGTAATAGTATAGTATATGTAATGTTCCTTGATTTCTTTTGGGGGTAGTTCTTTGGTATGACCAACAATTTTAATACCATATTGATTTTATTTACAAATACAACTGCATGATGAGGTGTCAGACACAATTTAGTGTCTTTGTGGGTTTTTGGGTTTTGGTGTTTTTTGTTTTTGAGACAGAGTCTCACTCTGTCACCCAGGCTTGAGTACAGTGGCACCACCTCGGCTCACTGCAACCTCCACCTCGTGTCATGACACTCGGCTAATTTTTGTATTTTTAGTAGAGACGGGGTTTCACCATGTTGGCCAGGTTCGTCTCGAACTCCTGATCTCGTGATCCACCCACCTCAGGCTCCCAAAATGCTGCTGGGATTACAGGCGTGAGCTGCTGCATCCAGCCCTTTGTGGGTTTTTTAAAGCATGTAAGGGCTTCATGACTGCTCTCATTTTCTTTTTAAGTCATTTGCCCCTAGATATTCTCAGATTGTCTTTCCTGGGGAGCAGTAGCACCAGGCAGAACAGCTACCTCTCAGGTATTTCTGTTCCTGGACTAAACCTGCTGTTTGATTCTTGAGCCTAAATTTCTAGTCTGAGAGTTGATGTAATTTTAGAATATCAGACTTTTCTTTGGGGTTGAAGGAATATATGCTGTTTGTTTGACTTTTTTTTTTTTTTTTTTTTTTTTTAAAGACACAGTCTCACTCTGTTGCCCAGGCTGGAGTGCTGAGCAGAGTGTGATCTCTGCTTACTGCAACCTCCACCTCCCAGGTTCAAGCAGTTCTCCTGCCTCAGCCTCCTAAGTAGCTGAGATTACAGGCACCTGCCACTATGCCTAGCTAATTTTTATATTTTTAAAGTTAAATTTACGGCCAGGCGCAGTGGCTCACACCCATTATCCTAGCACTTTGGGAGGCTGAGGTGGACAGATCACGGGGTGAGGAGATTGAGATCATCCTGGCCAACATGGTAAAACTCCATCTCTGCTAAAAAGTAGCTGGACGTGGCAGTTCATGCCTATAATCCCAGCTACTTGGGAGGCTGAGGCAGGAGAATTGCTTGAACCCGGGAGGCGGTGGTTACAGTGAGCCGAGATCACACCACTGCACTCCAGTCTGGCGGCAGAGCAAGACTTCATCTCAAAAACTAAAAACAAGTTAAACTTACACTTAACATATGACCCAGTAATCTCACCCCTAACTATATACCCAAGAGAAGCAAAAACTTACATTCACACAGACGCTTGTACACAAATGTTCACAGCAGCTTTATTGACTGTCCTCCCAAATTAGAAACCACCTGCCCTTCAACTGGTGAGTGAATAAAGAAACGGTGCAGCCATACAATGGACCACCAATGGACTCAGCTACAAAAAAGGAACAAATTATTAACACTAGGCCCTCACTTAATGTCATTGGTAGGTTCTTAGAAACTGTGACTTGAAGTGAAACAACGTATAATGAAGCCAGTTTTACCATAGGCTAATTGGTATAAATAAGAGTTAAGTTTCCTATAGCATATTTCTGGTCCCAAAAGCATCACCAGACTTTTTTTTTTTTTTGAGACGGAGTTTCACTCTCACTTTTGTTACCCAGGCTGGAGTGCAATGCTGCGATCTTGGCTCACCACAACCTCTGCTCTGCCTCCTGGGTTCAAGCAGTTCTGCCTCAGCCTCCCGAGTAGCTGGGACTATAGGCTTGTGCCACCATGCCCAGCTAATTTTTGTATTTTTAGTAGAGACGGGGTTTCACCATGTTGACCAGGATGGTCTCAATCTCTTGACCTCTTGATCCACCTACTTCAGCCTCCCAAAGTGGTGGGATTATAGGTGTGAGCCACCACACCTGGCCCAGACTTTTAAATAAAGACCAAAAACAGGCTGGGTGTGGTGGCTCATGTCTGTAATCTCAGCACTTTGGGAGGCCAAGGCAGGTGCATCACTTGAGGTCAGGAGTTTGAGACCAGCCTGGCCAACATGGCAAAACCTTGTCTCTACTAAAAATACAAAACTTAGCTGGACGTGGTGGTGGGCACCTGTAATGCCAGCTACTCAGAAGGCTGAGGCAGGAGAATCACTTGAACCTGGTATGCAGAGGTTGCAGTGAGTCAAGATCATGCCACTGCACTCCAGCATAAGTGACAGAGCGAGACTCAAAAACAAACAAACGTGAGCTATACATTTAAGAAAGATTAATAAAAAGCAGCATAATTATTTATCCAATTTTTGCTGAATCAGTGCGTGATGGTGGTCATAGTGGTGGCGGATTAAGTCAAGAAGTATATGTTTGCAAAGCAAAGATTATAAGGAACACTCCTGTCATAACGCTCAAAAACAACAAATATAGCAGGCTCACTGCTTTTGTACTACATTGTTTATTGTGATACATTTGTATAATTATTGTATACTACTTTATGAATTTTTATTTTACTATAATTCATATTCATTTTCCAACCCACTTACTTCAGTTCAGGGTCCCAGGTGCCCAGAGCCTATCCCAGCAGCTCAGGGGCAAGGCAGGAACCCCCACTAGACAGGATGCCATTCCTTCATAGGACACATTCACCCACACCCACACTCACACTAGGACCGTTCACACATGCCAGTTTACCTAACGTGGACATCTTTGAGATGTAAGAGGAAACCAGAGTACCTGGAGAAGACCCACGCAGACCTGGGGAGAACATGCAAACTCCATGTGGACAGTGGCCCCAGCTGGGAACTAATCTCGTCGTCATGATGAAATATGTTATTGGTGGACCTGCTGTATACACAATAAGTTTGGTAACTCTCAGATACATTAGGCTAACGGAAGTTGGACTCAGAAGGCAACATACTGTATGACCCCATTTATGTGGCATTCTAGAAAAGGCAAAACTAGGGACAGAACATAAGTGTGATTTCAGGAGGTTGAGGAAGCCTGGGGGAACTTGACTACAAAGGGGCAGCATGGCAGAATTTTGGGGGTGATGGAACTGTTCTGTGTCCTAATTGCAGTGGTGGTTATACCTCAGAACTGAACACCTCCAAAAAGGAGACTTTTACTGTATTGAAGTTTTAAAATTCTAAAAAAAGCTAAGGAAAAAATTCTTGCCTTTCCAAACATGGGTGATAAAACTAGGGGAGCTGGAGGAGTGCGAGCTATTGACACCTGGTGTTTTTTCTTTTGGTTGTAGGTTATCTACCTTGCCTGCTCCTATGCCACAGTGTACCTGATCTACCTGAAATTTAAGGCAACCTATGATGGAAATCACGATACCTTCCGAGTGGAATTTCTGGTGGTCCCTGTGGGAGGCCTCTCGTTTCTAGTCAATCATGATTTCTCTCCTCTTGAGGTTAGTTTAAGAGGTTATTTAGGGCTGAGCAGGGTGGTTCACGCCTGTAATCCCAGCACTTTGGGAGGTCAAGGTGGGCAGATCATAAGGTCAGGAGTTTGAGACCAGCCTGGCCAACATGACAAAACCCTGTCTCTACTAAAAATACAAAAAAATTAGGCACGTGTGGTGCACACCTGTAATCCCAGCTACTTGGGAGGCTGAGGCAGGAGAATCGCTTGAACCTGGGAGGCAGAGGTTTCAGTGAGCTGAGATTGCACTCCAGTCTGGGTGACAGAGTAAGACTCCATCTTGAGAGGGAAAAAAAAAGAGGTTATTTATGGCAGGGTGTGGTGGCTCATGCCTATAATCCCAGCATTTTGGGAGGCCAAAGTGTGCAGATCACTTGAGGTCAGAGGTTCATGCATTCAGCCTGGCCAACATGGTTAAACTCTGTTTCTATTAAAAATACAAAAATTAGCCAGGCATGGTGGCACACACCTGTAATCCCAGCTACTGAAGAGGCTGAGGCACGAGAATCACTTAAACCCAGGAGGTAGAGGTTGCAGTGAGCTGAGATAGAGCCATTGCACTCCAGCCTTGGCAGCAGAGCAAGACTCCATCCAAAAAAAAAGTTACTTAGTGGTCATATCTGGTTATCCAGGTGAATGGACCTGTTTTCATGTTGGCAGATCATGTAGGTGTTCATGGTTTTTTTATTTTATTTTTTATTTTCTGGTTTGGCTAACTCCAGTACAGTGTTCATGACTGGTATAAAAAATTATAGATAAGGCCAGGCGTGGTGGCTCACGCCTGTAATCCCAGCACTTTGGGAGGCCGAGGTGGGTGGATCACGAGGTCAAGAGATCAAGACCATCCTGGTCAACATGGTGAAACCCCGTCTCTACTAAAAATACAAAAAACCAGCTGGGCATGGTGGTGTGTGCCTGTAATCCCAGCTACTCAGGAGGCTGAGGCAGGAGAATTGCCTGAACCCAGGAGGCGGAGGTTGCGGTGAGCTGAGATCGCGCCATTGCACTCCAGCCTGGGTAACAAGAGTGAAACTCCGTCTCAAAAAAAATTATAGATGAGTCTGGGCGTGGTGGCTCATGGCTATAATCCAAGCACTTTGGAGGTTAAGGCGGGCAGATCACCTGAGGTTGGGAGTTCAAGACCAGCCTGACCAACGTGGTGAAACCCCATCTTTAAAAAAAAAAAAAATCGTAGATGAAAATTAAGCACCCACATATTTGGGTGTCTGCTGACAGCTTACTGTCTGATTCCTTTGAAATAGAAACTTGAAACTGTATTTTGTTATCTTGACTTCCGTGGTACCAGACAGAGCCCTGCCCGTCCTAGTGGTGGAAGAACATGGTCTCCCTCCTGTAGCCCACATTTTGTTTCCTTTTCATGTATAGGTGTGGATTGATGTTATGTCTGTGACTCTGCTTAGCAGCACTCTGCACCCCTTTCCTTTAGGAAAGGTGGTTTGTGGTACCCCTGGCACTGTACAGTGCACTGATCTGCTCCCAAGTACCTCTTCCTTCCCCACTGAACAGGCAAACGGTGCTGCTCTACATCCTGGGGCCAATCAAGTCACTGCGCTGTCCTGGGTGTCTGATGGGTGCTGGGAGCACCTGGACTTTTTTTTTTTTTTTTTTTTATAGACAGGGTTTCACCATGTTGGTCAGGCTCGTCTTGAACTCCCGACCTCAGGTGATCCACCCACTTTGGCCTCCAAAGTGCTTGGATTACAGGCGTGAGCCACCATGCCCGGCCTTTTTTTTTTTTTTTTTTTTTTTAATGGAGTCTCAATTTGTCATCCAGGCTGGAGTGCAGTGGCGTGATCTTGGCTCACTGCAACCTTTGCCTCCCGGGTTCAAGTGATTCTCCCGCCTCAGACTCCCGAGTAGCTGGGATTACAGGTGCACGCCACCACACCTGGATAATTTTTGTATTGTTAGTAGCAACAGGGTTTCATCATGTTTTCCAGGCCGGTCTTGAACTCCTGATCTCAGGTGATCCACCTGTCTTGGCCTCCCAAAGTGCTGGGATTACAGACGTGAGCCACCCTGCCTGGTTGCACCTAGACTTTTAAAACACTCAAGGACTCTGTGAAAGCCCTTCTGTCGTCATCATGAATAAAGTCATATGTTGGGCAGCGAAATTTCCATAATTACAACTCTGATTATACCCCTTTGATTTAACCACACCAGAAAAGCCTAAGGAATAAGAAAAATAGGCCGGGCGCAGTGGCTCACTCCTGTAATCCCAGCACTTTGGGAGGCCGAGGTGGGTGGATCACGAGGTCAAAAGATTGAGACCGTCCTGGTCAACATGGTGAAACCCCATCTCTACTAAAAATACAAAAATTAGCTGGGCATGGTGGCACACGCCTGTAATCCCAGCACTTTGGGAGGCAGGAGAATTGCTTGAACCCAGGAGGCAGAGGTTGCGGTGAGCTGAGATTGCACGCCATTGCACTCCAACCTAGGTAACAAGAGTGAAACTCTGTCTCAAAAAAAAAAAAAAGAAGAAGAAAAATAGTGAAAATATTTCAGTACTCTGGCAAGATCAGTTGGTGAGGAAAAACAGCAGTGAGGAAGTAGAAGGAGCTTACCACTTACCAATGCTGTCAACCCTGGCAGAAAGCAGGGTTGATTTGTCATCCCCAATCTGGAGCAGGACAAGCTTGTCCAGGAAAAATGTATGTAGACTCAGAAAATTGAAGAGGGAAAAATAAACCTGGAGAGACAAGGTCAAAGAGGTAGAGGCATCCAAGTTACCCAGCTTGTCACACTGGCAGTGCCCTGCCTCTTAAAGATTGATTAATTTTCTGTGATTTATGCCAGGAATCCCCAACCCCTGGGCCACTGACTGGTACTGGTTCATGGCTTGTTAGAAACCAGGCTTCACAGGAGGAGATGAGCAGTGGGTGAACAAGTGAAGCTTCATTGTATTTACAGCTGCTCCCCATCACTCACATTACTGCCTAAGCTCCACCTCCTGTCATAAAAGTGGTTGCATTCAGTTCTCACAGGAGTACGAACCCTATTGTGAACTGTGCATGTGAAGGATCTAGTTTGCCTGCTCCTTATGAGAATCTAATGCCTGATGATCTGTCACCGTCTCCCACCACCCCGAGATGGGACCATCTAGTTGCAGGAAAACAAGCTCAGGGCTCCTACTGATTCTGCATTATGATGAGTTGTATAATTATTTCATTGTATATTACAAAAATAGAAATAAAGTGCACAATGAATGCAATTTGCTGGAATCCTCCCGAAACCCATCCATCCACGCTGCTGGTCTATGGAAAAATTTTCTTCTATGAAACCAGTTGCTGGTGTCAAAAAGGTTGGGGACCACTGGGTTACGCAGTTGCCAAGCTGTTCTATTTTGGGCCGACATGCCCCACTCCACGACTTCCCGTCATCTTAAGCTTCTTTGTAGTAAAGCAAGCAAGAGTGTTTCCTCTAGGCTTCTGGTGGGCAGTGAGCCTGACAGAAGCTTGCCATTTCTCTTCCAGATCCTCTGGACCTTCTCCATCTACCTGGAGTCTGTGGCTATCCTTCCGCAGCTCTTTATGATCAGCAAGACTGGGGAGGCCGAGACCATTACCACCCACTACCTGTTCTTCCTGGGCCTCTATCGCGCTTTGTATCTTGTGAACTGGATCTGGCGCTTCTACTTTGAGGGCTTCTTTGACCTCATTGCTGTGGTCGCCGGCGTAGTCCAGACTATCCTATACTGTGACTTCTTCTACTTGTACATTACAAAAGGTATGTTGGGTGCAACTTAACGTTGTTTCTAGAGTCACGTGTTCTTTTAGGAGCGCCATTGCCCAGTACTCTTCTAACCTGGCACTCTCTCATAAAGCAGAACTGGCTCCAGAGAACCATTTTCGTGACTGGCCAGTAACATTCTGGATCAGGGTGTCGTGTTTTTTTGTTTTTTTTTTTTGAGACGGAGTCTTGCTTTGTCACCAGGCTGGCGTGCAGTGGTGCAATCTCGGCTCACTGCAACCTCCGCCTCCTGGGTTCAAGCAATTCTTCCACCTCAGCCTCCCAAGTAGTTGGGACCACAGGCGCATGCCATCACGCCTGGCTAATATTTTTGTATTTTTAGTAGAGATAGGGTTTCACCGTGTTGGCCAGGATGGTCTTGATCTCTTGACCTCACGATCTGCCCACTCTCGGCCTCCCAAAGTGCTGAGATTACAGGCGTGAGCCACCACGTCCAGCCAGGGTATCATTTTTTTTTAAATATAACAACACTTTTTCTTTTTTGATAGATTTCCTAAAATGGCATGTTTTCATTGTAAAAAATTCATCTGGTGTTTTAGTAAACATTAACACCAGATACTTCTCTATGCATACACAGACACATGACATAAACTGTATATGCTGATCTATATACTGCTTTTATCCCACTCACATTTTTTTTTTTTTTTTTGAGACGGAGTTTCGCTCTTGTTACCCAGGCTGGAGTGCAATGGCGCGATCTCGGCTCACCGCAACCTCCGCCTCCTGGGCTCAGGCAATTCTCCTGCCTCAGCCTCCTAAGTAGCTGGGATTACAGGCACACGCCACCATGCCCAGCTAAATTTTTTGCACCTTTAGTAGAGACGGGGTTTCACCATGTTGACCAGGATGGTCTCGATCTCTCGACCTCGTGATCCACCTGCCTCGGCCTCCCAAAGTGCTGGGATTACAGGCTTGAGCCACCGCGCCCGGCCCACTCACATTTTTCATGTCACTAGAAATCTACACAGTTTTTGTTTTTGGTTTTTGGGTTTTTTTTTGAGACAGAGTCTTGCTCTGTTGCCAGGTGCCAGGCTAGAGTGCAGTGGTGCAGTCTCAGCTCACTGCAACCTCCGCCTCCCGGGTTCAAGCAGTTCTCCTGCCTCAGCCTCCCGAGTAGCTGGGACCACAGGTGCATGCCACCACGCCCAGCTAATTTTTGTATTTTTTAGTGGAGACTGGATTTCACCATGGTCTTGATCTCTTGACCTTGTGATCTGCCCTCCTCAGCTTCCCAAAGTGCTGGGATTACAGATGTGAGCTACCATGCCTGGCCTAGAAATCTACATAACTTTCAGTAGCCACAATGTTTCATTATGTGCATATACCATAATTTATTTACCCAGCCCCCTATTTATGGGTGGTCAGGCTGTTACTGGTTTGCTGTTAAAATCCAGTCATTAAATCAGCATCCTTGTACATACGTATTTTTGCATTTGTATGAATATAGGACATGTGAATTTAGAAAAATCTGATGAACACTATCATCCGTGTTTAGGAGAAAAAAAGCATATTTATGCATATGTAACCCAAATACATGCATATCGTTTTGGGAGGTTCAGGAGCACCTGAAACCCAACCACAGATCCCAGGCTAAGAATCCAGCTATCCAATAAAATTCCTAATGGTGGTGGAATTGCTAGGTAAAAGAGCATATATAGGCCGGGTGCAGTGGCTCACGCCTGTAATCTTAACATTTTGGGAGGCTGAGGCAGGTAGATCACCTGAGGTCAGGCGTTTGAGACGAGCCTTTTCATGGCGAAACCCCATCTCTACTAAAAATACAAAATTAGCCAGGTGTGGTGGCACGTGCCTGTAATCCCAGCTACTTGGGAGGCTGAAGCAGGGGAATCTCTTGAACCCAGGAGGCAGAATTTGCAGTGAGCTAAGATCGTGCCATTGCATTCTAGCCTGGGCAACAAGAGCAAACCTGAGTCTCAAAAAAATAAAAATTTAAAAAAAAAAGCATATCTTATTTCTCGCCTTTTTTTTTTTTTCTTTTTTCTTTTTTTTTTTTTTTTTTTGAGACGGAGTTTCGCTCTTGTTACCCAGGCTGGAGTGCAATGGCGCGATCTCGGCTCACCGCAACCTCCGCCTCCTGGGTTCAGGCAGTTCTCCTGCCTCAGCCTCCTGAGTAGTTGTGATTACAGGCATATGCTACCATGCCCAGCTAATTTTTTGTATTTTTAGTAGAGACGGGGTTTCACCATGTTGATCAGGATGGTCTTGATCTCTCGACCTCGTGATCCACCCGCCTCAGCCTCCCAAAGTGCTGGGATTACAGGCTTGAGCCACCGCACCAGGCCTTTTTTTCTTTTCTTATTCTTTTTTTGAGACAGATTCTTGCTCTGTCACCCAAGCTAGAGTGCAGTGGCGGGATCTCGGCTCACTGCAACCTCTGCCTCCCAAGTTCAAGCGATTCTCCTGCCTCAGCCTCCTGGATAGCTGAGGTTACAGTTGTGCGCCACCACACCTGGCTAATATTGTATTTTTAGTAGAGATGGGGTTTTGCCATGTTGGCCAGACTGGTCTTGAACTCCTGACCTCAGGAGATCCACCCACCTCAGCCTCCCAAAATTCTAGGATTATAGGCATGAGCTGCCTCGCCCAGCCATCCTTTTTGTTTTTTACTTTCTTTTCAAAGAGACAGGGTCTCACTCTGTCACCCGGGCTGCAAGAATGCAGTGCCGTGATCTTAGCTCACTGCAGCCCCAAACTCATGGGCTCAAGTGATCCTCCCTGCTCAGCCTTCTGAGTAGCTGGGACTATGGGTGCATGCCACCACACCTGGCTCATTTAAAAAAAAAAAAAAAATCTATAGAGATAGGGTCGCTCTCACTTTGTTGCTTATGCTGGTATTGACTTCCTGGCTTCAAGGGATCCTCCTACCCTTGCCTGCCAAAGTGCTGGAATTACAGGTGTGAGCCACGGCACCTGGCCTTTATGTTTTAGTACCCAGAATTTCATAGGCTTCCCTACATAAGCTATATTTTACTATATATTGATTAAGATGAAAGTCATAATAACAAAAAGCCACTATGAATTTAGTGGCACATTGGATCAAATTTGTAATTTTAAAATACAGTTGCTTATTTCCTATACCTTACTATGTAGAATCTTGTGTGTGGGAGACTTCTAGGAATGGAAAGGAGGAAGCTAAGTTTGTCAGCATCAGTAACTTTTGTTTTCTTTTCCTCTCTTTGAAATTCTAGTACTCAAGGGAAAGAAGCTCAGTTTGCCAGCATAAGTGCCAAAGACCATCACCAGCATCTGTCCTTCAGGGTGCTTGGACAGAATTCTTACCACAGCAAAGGCATAAGATGCTTGATACGGAAAATCAGAAACTTAACTCTTTTGTTGCAGATAGTCATCAGTGGCTCTGTAAGAACGCAGAGGAAAAGAGCCAGAAGGTTTCTGTTTAATGCATCTTGCCTTATCTTTTTTTATTACTGTGTACAAAGATTTTTTACACAAAGAAACTTAATGCTGTATTAATAAATTCAGTGTGTAGCTTCAATTGGGATAGTTTCAAAAGTGAAGATTTTGTGAGGAATAAGTGCAAATGTTCTTTTTTTATTTTAAAAAAATTCTTTGAAACTGTTAAGTCTTTGTGTCTGCAATGAAATTGTACTCCTTGACAGTTGGTAGATTATATATTCTTCCACCTATCAAAATTGCATTCCACTATATTTATTTTTTGCCAAAAGATGAGCTCTATTTGTTTGAAATCTGAGACACTATGTTCAATTGGCTGTATCTGTTCAAATTTATTCCCATGTGATGTGGAACTCCTTTGTTGGATGTCACAACACTACATTTAAGGTTGGTAAGGATGACTTGCAGGTCCATGGTTTTCATTACCGAAATTTTAAGATTCTGAATGTCGATGGAGTCTCACTGAAGAGTTACCAAAGGTGCCTGCCCTCCTTCCCTGCTGGAACGTGTCAGTTGGAGACTGTCCCAAGGGTGCCGAAGAATCCAGTGGCAGGGGTTCTGGCTGTTTTCCGTCTGAGTGTGGGATGGGAGGGGTGTTCATGATCATTTGGATATAGGAGTCTACTGCTATGAGGAATGGAACACAAGTAGTTAACCTATCACTTTCATTTACAATGCCAAAAGATGACTACAACCACGTCCCTGCTCAGATTCAAACAGTTTTCCGCATCACTTTTTGGTGGTAAGATGATTTACAGTTGTTGTTTTTTTTTTTAGTTGACAGCACCACTTACCATTCCTTATATTCTTTTTGTTCTGTGTGGTTTTTTTTCTTTTTATTTAACCCACAGTCAACATCATAGTTTCTCATTTTGTTTTACTGAGCTCTTGTATGACTTATGTTACCATCCTAAAAAACACTATTAAATATAGAATAAATTATCCTTTTTATGAATTAGGCTTTTGAAACATCCTTTGTTGGGATGATTTTTTTGTTTTCCTTTTTTTTTTTTTTTTCGTTAAAGACGAGGTTTCACCATGTTGGTCAGGCTGGTCTTGAACTCCTGACCTCAGGTGATCTGCCCGCCTTGGCCTCCAAAGTGCCTGGATTACAGGCGTGAGCCACCGCGCCCGGCCGATTTTTTTGTTTTTCAATTGGCAACAAAAGCTCTGTAGGGCTGCAAACGTTTAAAGTCCATATAATCATCTTTAAGACATTCTGTATTTTGTGAAAATATTAGAATTCTTTTTCCTAATTTTGCCATTATATGGATTTGCTATTTTTTTATTAGTACAAAAGTATAAGACTTTGTTTTTTATATGATGCACCATAAATATTAAAAGTGTTGAATACTAACATTGCTTACTACAGAAAGGATGTATTTTTTTGCTTTCTGCATTTCAATGTCTTCTGGAGGAAGGGTGCAGGATGGGTTTCATTTGTATCTAGTATGTGTCTTAACATCTTTCTAAATCGGCAGTGTAACTGCATAGTTTAACCTTCTGTGTCTCCCTCATTTTTTCCCTCTTTGCCTCATGTTTTTGCTTTTGTGTATCAGAGCATGTTTCTTTACAGCATCCTGGTCTTGCTTTAGTTTCTGTGGTCTTTTTTCATCCTCTTTGAAGATTCTGAGCAGAGGGAGGCTGGGAAGTCTGGTGCAGTAGGTGAGCAGTCAGGGTGGGTGGGGCGCACACCTGTCTTTGTGCATGCAAATCCGACACAGCTGGCACATCCGCTGGAGAGCACAACGCACGGAAGGGTCTGGAAGCTGTGCGTAGCAATGCCTTGTGCAGTCATCCTACCCAAGTAAAAGTAACTTGGCTGTGTTGTTACCACTGTTTCGTGGTCAGCCAGGAGGACATCTTAGCAATGGTGCCTGCAACGGAGTGCGGGACTGGACCTCATCCTCGCTGGCGTTGGAAACCAAGGCCTTGTATGCCACGCCTTATGAAGCACTGTTTCACAGTTACTTTCACTTTCCGAATAAAGGTTACCAGGTAATTAATTTTTTTTATTGAGGTGTTTGTGTGTTTTTCAGTGTAAGCATGATGAGAAATAAGCAAAGGTCAGAGATTTGTCCAGTAACTGATATTACAGGAAAAGCTGCTTTCCAGTCAGGCCTGGTGGCTCGTGCCTGTAACCACAGCACTCTGGGAGGCTAAGGCAGGTGGATCACTTGAGGCCAACAGTTTCAGACCAGCCTGGGCAATATAGCAAGACCATGTACATCTCCATTTTAAAAAGAGGTTTCTTGGCCATTGGCTTCTTAACAGAGACCAATCCATTCCCCTGCCCAGTTCAATCACAGAGAAACTTTGAAGAAGTTTCTAGCTTCCTCATGCTCTGGCCAACAGAAGAGCAGGTAGAGAAGGGGTTTTTATGGAGATCATAGTGATTTATGGGAACCCTAAGTAAGAAAAGCACACACTTTGGGCCCAGGCCTGTGTTGAGACTTGGCTGCCTCACTTACAGTCCCTGACCCTGGACTTCACATAAGCCTCATTGCCCTCACTTATGTAGGTAAACTCCCAGGGATTTCTGTGCGGTTTAAATGAGCCACTTTTGGCAAAGCTCATGGCCAGAGCTTGGTACATATCCAGTAATCACCTTTGCCCCACCTGATTTTGTGTTTAGTCTGTGACAGCTGCTTCAAAAGCTGGTTGGGAACTGGTTCTGGCAGAAGTCCCTCTGGCCCATTTGATATGGGTCTGTTTTGCCAGAAGCTTCACAATTCTTATTTGGCGAGGTATAGAAATTGACTCTGGCCAGGCACAGTGGCTCATGCCTATAATCCAGGCGTCCCCAAACTATGGCCCACGGGCCGCATGCGGCCCCCTGAGGCCATTTATCTGGCCCCGCGCCGCACTTCAGAAAGGGGCACCTCTTTCATTGGTGGTCAGTGAGAGGAGCACAGTATGTGCCGGCCCTCCAGTGGTCTGAGGGACAGTGAACTGGCCCCCTGTGTAAAAAGTTTGGGGATGCCTACTATAATCCCAGCACTTTGGGAGGCTGAGGTGGGTGGATCACTTGAGGTCAGGAGTTCGAGACCAGCCTGGCCAACACAGTGAAACCCCGCCTGTACTAAAAATAGAAAAGTAAGCCTTATGTGGTGGCGTATACCTGTAATCTCAGCTACTCGGGAGACTGAGGCACAAGAATCGCTTGAACATGGGAGGCAGAGGTTGCAGCAAGCTGAGATTGTGCCACTGCACTCCAGCCTGGGCAACAGAGTGAGACTGTATCTCATATAAATAAATAAAATAAAAAATATTTTAGGTAACTTCAAAAAGCATCCACCCATCTAAGTCTTGCTTGATTGGGTCTGTGTGGGTTTTTTCTGTGTGCCTGCGTCCTCTAGTGGCCGGATGTGGAATTTCCAAGAAACCAGAGCTCTGCCCAGTACCACCTAGCCATCCCCACAACTAGCCGGGTTAACTGGAATCTGTAGCCTGGATTCTGCTGGAGGTGCCATGGGTGTTTCTCTAGTTTTGAAACAACTCCTTTTGTCCCTGCACTTTAAAAGAAATTTGCAGCGTAACATAGTACATATCCTTTTAAGCAATGGCAAGGATGTGTTTTTACAATACTAAAATACTCTGTTCTAGTTTCACTTTGGGCACTTAAAAAGTGAGAGTCGCCTGACATGGTGGCTAACACATGTAATCCTAGCAGTTTGGGAGGCCGAGGCAGGCAGATCACCTGAGGTCAGGAATTCAAGACCAGCTTAGCCAACATGGTAAAACCCCATCTCTACTAAAAATACAAAAATTAGCCAGGTGTGGTGGCAGGAGCCTGTAATCCCAGCTACTTGGGAGGCTGAGGCAGAAGAATCATTGGAACCTGGGAGACAGAGGTTGCAGTGAGCTGAGATCATGCCATTGCACTCCAGCCTGGGTGACAGAGCAAGACTTCATCTTGAACAAAAAAGTAAGAGTCTTTAGGCAAACCCCACACTACAACTGACTCCATTACCAAAACTGAATGAAAACACAGAACCTATTTACTGATCTAATAAGGTATCTGTGACAATAAGTGGACCTGTATGGATGACTCAAAGGGAAGTTAATATAAAAAATTTTTTAAAAAGCCAGTGCAGTAGCTCACGCCTATAATCCAGGACTTTGGGAGGCCAAGGCGGGTGAAATCACCTGAGGTCGGGAGTTCAACACCAGCCTGACCAACGTGGAGAAACCCTGTCTATACAAAAAATACAAAAATTATTGGGGCATGGTGGCACATGCCGGTAATCTCAGCTACTCGGGAGGCTAAAGCAGGAGAATCGCTTGAACCTGGGAGGTGGAGGTTGTGGTGAGCCAAAATCGCACTATTGCACTCTGGCCTGGGCAACAAGAGCAAAACACCGTCTCAAAAAAATTGAAAAAATTTTAAAGATCTGTAATCCAGAAACTGGTGTGTGCTCTGAAACTAAAAAAGTTACTTGTTTATTTTGAGATCTGAGAACTGAAGATCTCAACACTTTAAAAAATGCTTTAAAAAAATCCCTATTTCCGGCTGGGCATGGTGGCTTACACCTGTAATCCCAGCACTTTGAGAGTCTGAGTCAGGTAGATCACTGAGGTTAGGAGTTCAATACTAGCTGAGCAACGTGCTGAAATCCAGTCTTTACTAAAAATACAAAAATTAGCTGGGCATGGTGGCTCATGCCTGAAATTCCAGCTGCTATGGAGGCTGAGACAGAATTGCTGGAACCCAGGAGGCAGAGGTTTCACTGAGCCAAGATCTTACCACTGCACTGCAGTCTCGGCGACTGAGTGAGACTAGTCTCAAAAAAAAAAAAAAAAAAAAAAAAATGAGGCAGGAGAGGCTGGTGGCAATGGCTCATCCCTATAATCCCAGCAGCAGGGCAGGTCACTTGAGGTCCAGAAACTCCCTGTCATAAATAAATAAATAAAAATAAAGGAGTAGGTAAGAGATAATAAACATGATGTACTGTCAGGGGCTGATTATGTGCAATGAGGAAAACTAAGGCAGCATAAGGAATAGAGACTGACAGTTTTGCTGTTTTGAGGTAAGGTGGTCAGGGAAGGCCTCTTTGAAGCCTTGATGCTTGAGCTGTGGCCTGAATGAGGTGAGAAATAGTATTGAGGCAGGAGAAGGGCGCGGTGGCTTACACCTGTAATTCCAGCATTTTGGGAGCCCAAGTTGGGCGGATCACTGAGGTCAGGAGTTCAAGACCAACTTGAGCAATATGGTGAAATCTGGTCTCTACTAAAAATATAAAAATTAGCTGGGTATGGTGGCTCACCCCTGTAATCCCAGCACTTTGGGAGGCCAAGATGGGGCAGATCACTTGAGGTCAAGAATTCGAGACCAGCCATGGCCAACATGGCAAAAATACAAAAATCAGCTGTGTTGTGCACACCTATAAATCCAGCTACTCAGGAGGCTGAGGCAGGAGAATCGCTTGAACTCTGGAGGCTGAGGTTGCAGTAGAGCCAAGATCGTACCACTGCACTCCAGCCTGGGTGCTGGGTGACAGAGTAAGACTCCATCTCAAAAAAAAAAAAGAAAGAAAGAAAAGGAGGCGGTGGGCGGCAGGAGAATAGGAAATGGGTGTAACCAATGGTTAACAAGGGTTAAGGCAGAAGCAAAAGATCAGCAGGTGCAGCCAGTTCTGGGCAGGATTAGGCAGCACAGAGGCCACATCTTCACTTCAGTGATAACAAGACAGAAGTTTCCACTTCAGCCAGGGATGTTAACCAAATTCTTTTAGTTTAATAAAAACCCTAATTGAGGGTCTCTTGAGCTGCTTGGTCAAGCTCACTCCCCCTCTGAGTAGTAGTTTCGTGCCAATCTGTGCTTTTGTCACTCCATTTGTTTGTTTTGTTTTTTGTTGATTGGTTTTATTTTTGTTGTTGTTGCTTTGTGCATTTTTGGTTGCAATTTTTTTTTTTTTTTTTTTTTTAGATGAGTATTGCTCTGTTGCCCAGGCTGGAGTGCAGT